ATTTTCCTTAATGCTAAAATTCCAAACCGGAAATATACGTACTTTCCGTAATAGTTTCGTACTGTTCAGTCCTTTCCCCAGAGCGCAATCGCTTTCGGGGAGGAGACAACCGACAGTCTCATTGGCCACTGTACGATAGGAGCTTACGGTTCAGACCAACGTTCCAACATGACTATCCGCACGTCGATCGATTGCACCTAATCCGTCAAGTGGTCTTAAACTCTTTAATGTAAAGCGGAATGTCAACCTGCGACACACCGCCCCCTCCGATCACGGCCCGACCAGCGGCATCAATGCCCGACAGTTTGCGTCATCTCATCTTGTTAAACCACTGATACGGGAACACACGATCACATCGGCGATGATTCCAATCTTCTGTTTACAACGCACAACACTGTCATCACGATGTTGCAGCTATGTTGCTGAACCATGTTGATTGCCGGTTGGTACTCGGCATTAGAAAACAGAACCGAACTCAGCACAGAATTCAACCAGGCACCCGGCAAAAAAACCTGCCTGCCTTGGACGCAGTTTCTGCAATTTCCCTAACATCGAAAACGTCGACACAGTTCCGCGTGGGTCCCGCAATCCGCGCAATCCGGAGACGGCCATCTTACCCAGTGCACGTTGCGCTGCTGGCACTGCTCCGGAACTTGGCTGTTTTTAGCGGCTTCGTTTGCTCGTTTGATAAAATTTATGGTAAAAACGTCAATGCAACCGAAATGTTCTGCACGTTTGGACTAGAAGACGGAATTACAAGCGGCCTTCGCTGCCGCTGAAGCTCAATCAACTCAAAAACATTTATTAAACAAAGTGCGTGACGTGCTCGAAAAACGAAACCGAAAGAAGATGAGTCGGGAGGGCGAAAGCTTTCACCCGTCTGCCTGGAGAAGGAGAAAAACGTCTTGTTCCTCCCTTCTCGTGTCGGCTTGGGGGCGCGTTAGTAGAAAGGAGGAAAATGCGCTGTTGCTACCTTATCCCTCCATTTATTTCTGGCGATAAGCCGATATGTATATAAAAGCAGCTACGATATCTCAAACTGTCTCTTTCTACGGTATTTCATGCCACGGTTGTGTCGATATGCCTCCCCTTGCATTTTGAAACACTAGGTCCGTCGCACTGTCTAGCATAGTCCAGCCATTGCGGCGATCGTAGACGCCGCTCTTTTGAAAACTCGTAAGCGGTCAGGTTGCAGTCGCACTCGGTATTGTCACAGTTTACGTGAGAAACGATGAAGAAAGCGTAAAAGATAAAATTACAGAAATCAAGAGGCGCGGAAGACACCAAGGGCCATTCGCTAATCCGTCATTCGCTCAAATGAGCGCCGCCATTCGCTAAAGTGTCATTCGATCAAACGTGGGGGGCAGGGCTTGATTCGCTACAACGTCATTCGATCAAATGAGTGTCTCCCTTGTCCGTGCGAGCCTTCCCCTAAGAGGTTGGTAATGAACCATTTGCTTAACGTGCAGCGCCAGTGGTGTACATACGTGTTTTTGATTGAGGGGGCGAAACAGACTCCTCCTCCCCCCCCCCCCCCCCAGAGCCGGGGGGCGGTGCCTATGGTATCCCTTGGGCGCCGCCGGCCAGTGTTTGCCCTATTTCAGTGGGGGGGGGGGGGGGGGGGGGCGGGGAGGGGGGGGGGGGCAGAACATGTGTTGTCCCCCCCCCCCCCCCACACACACACACTGAGAACTGGGGGCGGGCAAGCGCCCCCTTGCCCTTCCGGTTGGCACGCCCATGTGCAGCGCCTTCCAGTGGCGTCGAAAAGTGTTCTGGGAAACGGATCTATGCGGAGAGCAAGTCGTCTGCGCCTTGCGCAGGAATTGCGGTGACGTCAGAACATCGCCGAGCTCTGACTGGTTTTGGTTAAAAGGATAGTGGGTAGACCTGAATGCTAGAAGCCTTGAGGTCTACCCACTAGTTTGTTTTCAATCAGCCAATAAGAGCTCGACGTTCTGACATCATCGCAACTCTTGTGCAAGAAGCAGACGAACTTGCGCTCCGCATTGAACCGGCTCGAGCGTACGTCGGAGGCTAAATAGGCAAGAGGGCAAATGTAGGCGTCCGGCGAAAAGCAGCGCTTGCTACGCTTAGAGAGCCTTGGTTTAAGAGAGGGTGCTGCTCGAACCATGGAAAGAGCTTGAATTTAAAGGCCGACACTTCCTTCCCCACCTGCGTAGATCAGCTTCCCGATCGCAGGTCTGCGTTGCCAAGTGGCAAAGAGGATAGCGGGCCGCAATTTAGGTGCAAAGCATGGAGACGCTTTCGCCATCTCCTCGCACCTTTCGCGTATTGCAAACGCGGCGCATAAATCTCGTGACCCAGACTGAACACTTGAAAACACTCTCAAATCTAGTTGCTCTAGCTACGCTGTCCTCTCTTTCTGCGTCCTCTTCAGTGTCAAGTGGTAGGCGCAACAGTAGCCAGGATGAGCACACAGGTCGTGCCCACAAGTCGATGCGTACCTCGCGCTCTGCGTTTCCGGGGCTTTCGAAAACGTTTTGTAATGCCCCCGGTGATTTATCCACTTTTCGTGACTTGTAAAAAGCCGGCCCCCAAAAGACGCAACAGTGAACCTGTAAACTGAAGCAACAGTGAACCTGTGAACTGAAGCACTGATGGAGGATATCGAGAGTTTAGGCACAACTGCCTTGTATCGTATTTACTCGAGTAATAGCCGCACTGTTTATGAAGAAAACCTGAGGGTTTGCTTTTCCGCGGCGCACGGAGATTGCCAATCACGGCGATAGACAGCATGATTCCAGCTGTTTACAGGACAGAGACAACGTCTTCATGCGAAGAAACCATCTGTGAACATTGAATTTCTATGGAGAATCGTGTTCTCGATCTGGTTATCCGCTATGTTATTTATGCTTAACGCAATGATTGGCTGTTTATGTGCTGTGTGGGAAGCAGACGCAAGGGTCTTCTTCATAAATAGTGCGGCTATTACTCGAGTAAATACGGTATTTACCGCCAACGATGTCGTGTCACCTGAGAACCACTTACGGCATTTCACGTAGAATATTTCAGGTTACGGAGCTTTTTCTTGTGGTACGCGGCGGTTTGCACTGAAGTATAATATTTATGACCATCTTAATGATCTTTCCATACTATAATATAACACGTTTAATTTTTTGTTTGAAGCGTTGGGAATCAGACGAGGAGCAAACATGGTTTCTTTTTAACTTTCAGAATGTGACAACGGAAAAAGAAATGACTAGAAACACGGGACTTCGGCTTTATTTCTGCGATACAAGGCAGCTCATATTATCTATCCGAAAAATAGCAAGAAATAAAAGATACATCCAACTTAAAAACCCGACAAATAGTAAAAAAAAAGACAAATATAAAAAAGTTATCACACCAATGATGCTTGGAGTTGGGCTGGTTGGTTTGACATTGATGGAATGCTGCGCTGCGTAGTTACGCGGAAAAAAACTGGAGAAAAGAAGTTTTGTCTGTTTTTCTGTCCTTCTGCTTTAACTTCATTTCTCCAGTTTTTTCCGCGTAACTACGCAGCGCAGCATTGCATCAATTATCACATTCATAGCGATCGCAATGACGTTTGAGTAAGATTTTTTTAAAAAGCAATTTCCCGCGAGTGGCAACAGAAAATATTTTTTCCGAAACATTGTTTAAAAAGTTATTTTGTTCTTTCGATTGATCCTTTTGTTCACAAGCAAAACGTATATTAAGTGTGTGCTAAGTATCCACGCCGGATTTAATTTCGGCTGAAAAATCGGATGCGGCACGTAACAACCCAAGCATTTAATTGAAAGATGTTTCTTTTTTTAAAGGGGGCATTTTACCTGATGAAATTTCGAGGCATGATTTTCGTTTTATTAAAACAGATCAACCAACGTGCCACGGTCAATGCGGAACGCGGTCTCGTGTGCTTCTTGCACAGGGGTTGCGATGGCGTCAGAAGGCCGAGCTCTTATTGACTTATTGAAAAAAATAGTGGATAGGGCCCTCAAGGCGTCTAGCATGGAGGTCTACCCACTATCCTTTCAATCAAAGCCAATCAGAGCTCGACGTCGTTATGACGTCACCGCCACTCCTGCGCAAGAAGCAGTCGAGCTTGCGTTGCGCATTGTGTTGGATGACGCAAACGACTGAGTTAACGAGGGTATGTGCTTGTGATGTCATCTACCGATAGGCGCAACAAACAGACGACACTCCGAAAAAAACAACAAAAGAAACAAAAACAGACGTGACAGTCTGCGCACTGCGTTAATGGGATGGTGGCACCGCAAGCACAACCCTCGTTATCCCGGTCGTCTACGTCGTCGTCCGCCGTTGACCCGTGGCGGGTATGTTCTCATTTTTCACAGAAAAGGAGCTACGCGTTAAAATTTCCACTAAACTAAACATTGGAAGAAACTTTGCAATTGCGATGTGCAGGTGAATGTTTTAAGCCAGTCTGAGAGCAACGCGGATATTGAAAACACCTTATATAGCGCATATCGTAGATAGGATGCAGTAAAGTAAGATAAACACAATGAGCAGAGTAGACTTCGAAGAAGAGGTGTACTGTCAGAATAAAAAGTAAGTTTAATTCAACGTTTAATGAAACGTTTTAATCAACCTTTAAAGCAACGTTTACTACCGCGTTTAATGCAACGTTCATTGCAGCGTCCGTACAAAGATTAATGCGACTCTTAAAGCACCGTCAATGGTAATGCGACGTTTCGCGCAACGAGAGCAGAGTCAGTGCTCAGGTGAGCTGGTCGAAATTTACTATGATGAATTTCACCTGAGACTGGGGCAGAAGAAAGAAAAATGTTTGACAGTGGTACAAAGTGAAACAAGGAGGGACAATGCCTCTAATCCGTCTTCTGTCAGAGCCTCGAGTTAAATGCATCACGTTATGTTTCGAGTAGTCGTTGACCTAAACATTGCATTCACCTCCATAGTAATTCTGACAGTACATACATTTTCCTACATGCATATATATATAATTACAATTAAAATATAACCGGGGCAGCAAGCGGTTCTCAGTAGAGATAGCTCATGATCCACTGCAAGGTGCCGGACATGTCGATGGAACGATGACTTCTGGGCAGACTGTCCAGACACTCTCCCAGCAGCTTTTCGAGCTCGACGTACTGCTCGTGCTGGAAAGTAAATTTGAGGTCTAGTATAAGCGGTCAACATTAAAAGCAAACATTTTAAATCCGAAAACATTCCAAACTTAATGAGTGCGTTTACTAACGGCAGATGCCGGATGATGTTAAGGGCATTTGTCACGTCGGAATTTCGTCCCCGGTATTTTGATTTGGGTAATACTCAATATATTTGGCTATTTCGTGGTAATAAGATAAATGGAACTTGCCTCCATCAATTGTTTTTTTTAATGTTGTTAGTAGGTATATTAATATAGTTTACGATACTTATGTTATCGATAGATTATGCATTGGAGCAGTCTTCAAGACCCGAATCATTAAAGTCATGCGGAGTCTTCGATACAGGAGAGTCTCTCAGCTCTGCCTTCATCATAAAATCTACTACCACATTCAGAACTTAAAAATGAGTTGCTATCAACCCCCGACAGAACATCATCGCGCCTTAACAACAAACGTGTCATCAAACGGATTTCAGGCTCGACGAACAGATTTAATAGATCATTCCTTCCTCAGGCCATCAGAGACTGGAATAACCTCCCACCATCCATTGTCACCACTCTGGACCCAAATAATTTTCTATCTTGTATTAATCTTCATTTTTTCTCTCACTATAGTTTTACGATTTGTGTAATTATGAGCGGTCCTGAATGTGTTAAGTTTGTTAAGTTTTTAAGTTTCCTTTTGTGTTTTTCATGGATTTGCGTTTTCCGTATTGTATAAATCTTGAACACCCCCCCCCCCCCCCTTTATGAAATGCCCTTCACAGGCCCTTAAGGTGTAAATAAATGAAATGGACTGAATTTATACCACATGAGCGCCCGCGAATAGGGTTTCTCGGGAAGCCCAGCGGACCCTCAAAGGTTAGAGTTTTTAAAATCGGTTGAGATCAACGCATCGCAGATTCCCGCGCTTTAAAAAAGAAAAGCGCACGCACAAAAAAAAAAGCATTTTGTGTATCTGTTTCTTAACACTGAACCAAAACGGATCAGTACATCATCATAAAGACGGGGAATAAAAATACAAAGCCCTACGAGTAGTTATTTTGTTTGAGTGCAATGCAAGCACAGACTGTTGCGGCAAATAGTTGGTGAACATCGGAATAAAATTAATTTAATTCTCCATGGTTCTCTTCCGGGCGTAAATTTTTGTTTCTTTTTTATACCCATAAACTCAGCAACGTGCGGGTACTGCAATGCGCTAAAGATATAATAAAAGAAAAACCAAAGCTTTCAGTGAATATCGCGACTCCAATTCACTATAGGTGGCGCCACTCGTTTTCCAAAATGGTGGGTTCAGTGAGGGTCGGAGATGCGTGCCGCTGTTGAGCCTGTCTAGTGTCCTGGCTTCACTGAGCGACACAAATTATTTCTGCTAATACGAGGAAGCTAAGGTGTTATGAGCGCAGGTCACCTCTTTACCCTGAAAACAATAACGGTGTTTCGCGTAATATTTACGCCAGGAGGCACGTTTTAATTCTAGATCGAAACCGAAACTAAACTCTATTTTTGATTTAGTTTCTCAGTATCGGTCTTAATTTCAGATTCTTTTATAACTTAAGATGTGTCTCACACCATGATTATTTATTTAAAGTAGTTGTTCGCGGAAACTTTATTTTGTGACATACGTGTTCGATTAAGGCGCTTCAAAATATTTTGGAGATTTTAGTGTCCCTTTAAAGACAGGGTCTTTCATTCACCTTAGAGGTAACATAGAATATTGGTATTTGTTGAAAAAATCAGTGCTGATATTTGAGTTCACACTGCCTTTTCCCACTCAGATAATTGCCATGTGAAATAACGAACTGTGGGCTTTTCAATGGGTTTTTCAGTATTTATACGATTAATTGCTTTAAGGTTTTAGCCAGCACAAGAATAACAGAATAAATCTAATTTTTACAATATGTTCACAAAATGTACGAATTAATAAACGCTGTTCTCACTCGAAACATTCAAAGATGAAATCCAAGTCAGACAGATGTGTGTTTTTTAAAGCAACGCGGAACGCTTCGGAGCTTATATTAATCCAGTGTTTAACTCCTTGTTTATCTTGATAACCATGTCAGAGTTTTTCATATGCTAAAAAGAAAACAAGATGATACCTTTCCGGGGAGACTATTATCGTTAAATGGCGTATTTTTGAGATTGTGGCGTTAATTGGGGGCATACTTTGCCGCGATTTGTATTAATATTAATATTAGTATTAAAATTAAGATATTTGAATACGCGATTTTCAAACGTTAGAATAATTATAATTGCTTATGATCTAATTGCAAAAGCGCGAACAAGTGTGGCAATCAAAAGTGTGCTAATTATCATCAATGGTGCCCATTGCAGCATTTTTAATTACCAAGTTATAAAATAAGAACAGTCTAAAATCAATGAAAGCATTCTAGCTAATGTAAGAAATTCATGTAAAAGTAGATTAATGGACGGTGCTATCAAAATCGCGACTTTTGATAATCGGCGAAACTTCTAAAGCCGCCGCCAATATCCTTGAAAACAAAATGTCTCCCCCCCCTTCTCCCCCCCCCCCCCAAAAAAAAATAGTGACTATTTTTTTATAAGATTTATTTACATTTACTTTTAAGCACCGTAGTTTTGCCAGTTTCAGCATTTCCAGTTCGAAGGAACGCCTGCCTGCTTGAGCGTCTGCTCACTGCAGCATGTTTCATTGGCATTGGAAGCCGGTGAAAGAGGAGTGAGTTTTAGTACTGAGTATACGAGCGAACGCAAGCGCTGTGTGTTTGCATTAGCTTTGCGTGTTCCACACTGCGCGTGAGCGTAGCCCGAAATCGCGGTCTTGGATTGGCGCATGGCGATGACATACATGCGCTACGTGGAGCACGCCACTCTAACGCAAACGCACAGTGCTTGCGTTTGCTTATATACGCAATACTAAAACTCTCTAATAAAGTAGAAACCCATACCGGCTGCAGCACTGAATTGGGACAGTGAAGAGTGTTGTTTTCATTCGAAAATGACATTTCGCGAGCCTTGATCGGGAGAAGTTCCGCCGTGCCCGCTGAGCCGGAGAAACGGGGACCCTCACTAGAGCGCTTTCCGTTTCCGCCGCTGGAGGGCGAGCAACGAGCTGGAGACGCGATTAGTGACAGCCCGATTTATAACAAAAGTCCGCGAAGCTGCTATTCCATAGAGCACGAGAAACGCTATTAAATTTGCGTGATATACATTCCACAAAAAAGTTACGTAAATTGGATTTTTTTTTTTTTTTTTGCGGAACACAAGCGGACGAATGGAGGGAATGAATGTAAAGATTTCAGCGATTACGAATTTCGTAATACGATTCGTTTTGAAAAAAATGTGATATGCGCAGTAACAATGAGAAAATAGAACGTCATGCTGATTCTACTTGCGCCCATCGACTTGTTTGGTTTAATCCTATTCTGAGCATCATAATTTGCAGGGATCCTTGTGTTGTTTTTCTTGATTCATTGACTTGTGTTCTGCAGGAAATACGAACTTGCAAACCTTTTCTTACAACGTATGTCAGAATGGTGCTGGGATGCTGCACGATGTTTTAGATGCTCATAATACACATTAAATTACATTTATGGAACAGCGGTTTTTTGACTAGTTTTTTGCTAAGTTACATTGATAGCAATTACGAAGCAATGGCGTGATCTTCTCAAGTATAAATGCGCGGTATATGTTCGAAAACATTTCTCAAACTCTCCGAGTAAATTCTGTACACTCCAAAGGGTTAAACAACTTAAGACGACTATATATATATATATATATATATATATATATATATATACGTATATATATAAACCTTTTTGTACATAAAAGCCGTTGAAGTAAAAAAAGACAGTATACATACCGTCAGGAAGGGATAGAGCTCCGCGGGCTGCAAGAAGAAATCACGCATTGTAAAACGGTACATGTAAAAGCTAAAGGCGTCTCGCACTATGTGGAGGTGGCACACTAATCTTAATATACTATTGCTAAAAACAGGGTTTATACGCTTATTTATAACAGGCTTATCACCACTCAGAACGTTTTTAATCTTTGAGACACTTACAAATTCCGGATACTTGCAGAAAGTGCGCGCCATGCAAACATCCGTGGTGCACTTTGTCAAGTCCCAAAGGCTCTTCAAGCCCCTCTGCAACTAAAAGCAAACCGCGAAAAGGAATCGCATAAATGTCTTGTAAATTATTCATGTGGATATTTGTATCTGCAGTACAATTAAAGTGCAGTAGTTAAACATAGTTACTTAGGATTGTATCACAGTATGGCAGAGGAATAATTTAAATGAGGTGGAGGAAGAGTACTAAAAAATGTATACCATTTTCAAAACCTCCACACCCTTCGAACACATAAAGCGTAAAATTGTACTGGTAGCTTTGGATCATACATTGTATGTGACTCAATTGAGCGAGAAGTTACAGCAAAATATATGCGTCCAAAATCGTATATTAGGAAATATCTTTTTTTTAGTTAAATTATGTTCTTGGGACATGATTCTTTGTTCCAGTATTTAAGTGCTCCATCTACGTTTACCAACTAATGCAACAAAATACTTACGCCTTCAGTTGCATGAGAACGGATGCAGGCACAGACCCAGCTTATTTGATCATCAGTTTTATCTAGAACAAAATATGCGCCACCGTTACACAAAAACATTATAAGCACCTTGCCGAGAACTTAAGTTATATTGATACTAGACGTGTCGTACCGCAGAGGTCGAACTTCTGAGACGAAGCCAGAATAAGGAAAGCCGCCAAAGTGTAGCAAAAGAAGATAACCTTCATCGTAAGAGAACTTTACAAAATACAAGCAGCGAACGGAAAGTCTACCGTGGTCCTCCCTTCTCCTCTCTTTATACACGTCCCATGGCTGCCTGCTTAGGCTCTCAGGTGATGCTCAGTCAATAGGCATCAGCTGAAATCACGACAACAGGAGCGACAAACTGATATCTTTGCTGGCTTCTGCTGGTTCCTTGTTGCTGATGCAATGTTACTTTATCTTTGGTCTTGGTCTTCTAGAAACGTTACTAAGGTCAAGCACGTTTCGATGGTAGAAGACGCCTTCACTACGTAAATGTGTAATGGCCAATTACAGAGAACTGCGTGAAGTTGCAATCGGCCGTTTGCATGTAATTTCCAAGCTTACATGACAGAAGAAAGCTTCGCTTTTCAACAGGCACATTCAGATATTTCGCCGTAGAATATCATTCAACTTAATGCAAATTGGTTGCAAATTCCTCAACAGTATTAATATTTATGTGCTCAAATTTAATCTGCAATAGAACGCTGAGGATATGTGAGATAAGAATCGTACACCCTACCCAAACGCCGAAGGAGTACCTACGTGTTGCTCCCGCTTTGAATGAAAATGAAAATAAACGTGTTTGTTTGTGTGTGTGTCTATTTAATCGGCTCAAAACATCAGCAGAGAGTTGAAAACACATGTTTTCGAAGACGGATAAAAATAGCAATGTCACCTGTGGATATTTGTGTTCAATATTTTCCTTACAATAATCATTCTGTCTTTTTATTAAACCCAGCTCCCTTTATTTGATTTTCAAAAATTCTTTATATATGGAATCGCGTATTCACATTTGGTCCGTACATTTTGTATATATCTTAATTTTTTTTTTCAGCATGATTACTTAGTTATACACAAATAAATAACGCCAGTATTCTTGACATGAAACATAATGAGGACAAGGTCTTTGTACCTTCTGAATCTTTTTTTTGTGACATTATTCGCTTTTCTTATTTACAAAAACGCAAATATGGTTTTACTTATGTGTCTTTTTGACAAACAAATAACCACGAGATGATCACGCATGATCAAATTTTGAGGCCACTGCGCGCCAAACGCTTAACACAAACAAATTATGCCCAATTCACACCAGGGATGCAAGAGGCTTTCAGCCACCGGAGATAACTAATTTAATATTAGAAGTAACGCAACGCAATAAAGTAATCACATTTTGAAAACGGCTGACATCCTATTGATAATTGATTGATATTGAGGAATAGACTGACATCCAATAAGACGAGAATGATTTGAGAATGAATCGCAGTATTATGTAGGTCTATAATAATTAAATAGTCTAGATATTTTAATCTCGGCAGTTTACTGACGGGCGAATGGAAGGCGCTGACGTATTTGCCACCATTGCTTGACTTCGATTTGGTCGGTTTAGGTATGACCATCCATGTTGCTGTGCTAATGGTTCATGTCGTTTTAACCTAATCCTGTGACTAAAATATTTCTCTTGTCACACACAACCAACAAAGAGTGGTACTACGCCGCTTTGAAAACCCACCAAGTGGTTTTAAATCTAAATTGCAGGTTTTTTTTACGAAAAACTTTCTATGAATTTGGTTATGTTTGTCGTTAATTTCAGACATGTTTGGCGGCGAAACGACTGAACTAATGCATAGGGAGGGTTAACATAGGCTGCAGCTGCACCCGCTGACACTAGTCTTCAATGAAATCAACTAACGAAGAGACTAATGCACGGGCGTGTAATTAAAGACGACAGGTCGAAAACCTGCTTAACGTTGCGCTGAATCGCGGGGTACAAATCAACTTGCAAACTCCCTCTCAATTTTGCTTATTTCAGATTTTTAGTGAACTTCCAAGACTTGAGACTCATCTGATAAAACAGGGGATCTAGAGAAAAACGATATTGTCTCGGTCTGTTTTTTTTCTTCTTCTAAGAAATCATGTATACGGCAAATATTTCAATAGCCTATCCTAGGACGATTAGTAAATTGCTTCAATGGTCAGGCCTGCTAAATACTTATTACCAGCATTTCCAAATGTTGGACTAAGGAAACAAACTAAATTCTATACAAACATATGCAATAACACGAAACAAAATCTCTAACCGGCATTGTCAACGCTGCACTCGGGCGATCTTCATGCAGATGACCCCCCTCCTTCGTCGACATATTGGGAACCCAAGGCACTTTTAAGCTGTTTGTGATAAATGTTTCACCCGGGAACGATTCCCCACTACACTATAACAAATGATTTACGAAAGAAAAGTAAATGCGCTGTAACAAATTGTATTTTTTTATATATGAAAGGTTAGTACATTACTCCCCACGTTGCAAGCTGCCGACGGCGCGGCAGCTTGCGCAACAGTAATCTTTTGCGGGAAACAAATGCGGTCAGCGCTACGTGCTTCGCATTGTTTGCAAGAGCGCCTTATCCCTTTTTCAAACCATAAATGAGCGATCATAAACATACCTTGCGCTTATAATTGCGAAAATTTCGATACCATCACTAAGCATACATGCATGCTCATTCTTAAGTAATTGGCCTCTCAACGTTCGTGTAACCATGGTCATTGACACATACTCATTGTTCGCCAGTGTTAATTGTGATTGCCGTGCCACCTCTAATATTCTCACACCTATCCGGTGTGCCGACAACGAAAATAGTCATGACATGTTACAAAATCAATTGCAAAAATTGTGCACATTATTATTGAACGCAGCTAGGTAGTGAATATAAGATCGGGCGACACCTTAAAGAGTACGGCCAGAAACGAGGTGAAACGCGACGGGAAAGGCGAATACAACGCGTTCACCAAGGCGCAGAACGAGGCTTGGAGCGACGAGTTGGAGCCACCTTATTGTGGCCCTGGAACGTGATTGCAAGAAGGGCAGAGCCCTTGCGACGAAGGGCAAAAAGTTCTATAGCCTACTTGCTCATGTGGGGGATATTTGGTGCGTAGTAGCAGTGTGCCCCTACCACAAACTACGGCTCAAACTTCGAATTAAAATAATATCTCCAATCGCAAGCCGTGTGTTAGGTTCTCATCTACTTTTAAATAAATAAGAAACCGAATGTTTAAAATATTTTTATAATAACACTGGCAGTTTCGTTTTCTTTTTCTTTTTTGCCTTGCGAGGGACATTGATTTGTCCTACCCGACACACAGTGCGAAGCTCCAATCTCAACGCGAAGGTGATCGAGGATGAAAGAAGAAACTTAGAACAGAGCGGGCGTAGTGGACAGCAGGTACTAACAATATCCTAACTATAAACCGGGTTGCTAACGCTGTCTGTGGCATAGTACTGCAAAAGAAAGAAAAAAAAGCTGAGGCGTAGTTTTGTGGAAATGCTTCCCCTTCGCACGCAGCGGACTAAGGTTCGATTCCCACGGGCGGTGGCCGATCTTTTTTATGCATTTGGCAACACCTAAAAAAGGATACCCTACATCTTCAACTACGACAACAACTGCAACTACAGCTACAGCACCAAACTTTGGAGAGAAAAACAAAAAACAGATATCGCGTTAAAAAAAAATCACTAATACCCTTGTTACACGGGCACACTTAACTACATTTACGCTAAGCCACACAGTTAGCGCACAATATTTGCCGACAACATTCTGCGGCTATGCAGTCAAAGCTATGGGCGAACGTGCGCTTGAGCTTCTTGATCATCCATTGAAGCAGTGCACGCGCGCTCTTCACTTCTTATGGAATAGATGTCCGAGGGTATAGTGCGGTATCAGTGGTGCCGCGTAACAGCAGTTAAAGCTGAGTCAACCGCGGTGAAGTGTGCCCGTGTAACAGGGGTATAACTGTATTATGAGCTTTTTTTCCTGATATTTTGTGGTAAACATCAATATTTTTGAATGCGATGGGGGACACATTTAGAAAGAACATTGACGTCTTCCTTTCATTCTGACAAGTAAATTCGTATTATTACAACTATCCTGCCCTCCCGTCAAAAAACATTTACAACGCTCGCAAGACTCGACCGTGAAAGCGGCGTTCTAGGGTTTCATCATGCACGAGCGACGGCCCAATGCAAGCGTCTCAGTCAGCGTCTATCGATATGCAGCAAAAAGTGACTGAAAGGACTAAAAAAAGCAACCAAATAAATATGCAGTCATTTCAGCTTTTATATGTTTTTTTTTCACATGGCATCCGCGATCAGGAGAAGAAGAGACCGTCATGACGTACAGTTAAAACGTGACATAAAAGTATTCGCTTTGGTATGCCAGGTACAGTTCAAAACTTCAGAGCTACTTGCCTTTAGAAGCGGAGTGACAGGAACATATTAACTTGATACGAGCCAAACGCCCAATTGCTTCCAGACAAATGTTTACCTGTGTAAGTATCTTCCCAGTATTGAAACCATGGTCGCTGTCAAGACGGTTGCACAATTTACAGAGCGGCGGGACCGCTTTTACGGAAACCAACATCTTTATTCAGCATCAACACGCGCAAAATAATCAAGCCAGATCGATCAAAATAGGTATTCTATTAGCCCCTTTCCCTGGCAGATGCCGTGCGCCCCGCGCTAGCGGTCGTCGAGCGGTTGGCCTCCGTGAGCGATCGCTCACGTGATATACCCCAGTGGCACGCGCTGCGGAGCAAATCAAGCGTAACGCTCCTAGCGCCACCGTTTTCAGATCATCTGATATCTTACTGAAAGGATGAAGTTCTAATCGGAAGCGGAACTTCAAGTTTTGAAAAATATTTTGATTGTTTACTACTTGGTTAACAGTGACACGATGAAGACAACTAGAAGTACGTACCTGTACGAGCCGTAGGATGCAATTAAGCAATGCCATACTCGTATGTCGTAAAGCGATCGTCATCTCCGAAGGCGACTTCCATCTGCAGAGTATTTGGCGTATTGGTCTTCTAATTATTCCATTTACATTCCAGAGACCACACAACAAACAAACGACACAACGAACAAACGACATCCGAATGGGCACGTACATCTTCCACATAACGCGATATCTTGGGCCTCTTCGCTGGAAAGGTGAACGACTCGGCAAACACTTCGCCGAGAACGGCTGCCTCGTCGTCACTCAAGCTGGAGCTAAGCTGGTATCTTCGTCGTCGTCAGTGCTTTTGATCTCACTGTGTCTTATTAGACCTTCTGAAATTGAGTGCAACGACGTCATCGCCGCAGTATGCTCGGGGGAGTCGGTCATGACGGGAGGAACGAAAGCAGCACAGCAGGAGAACCCACCCAGCAATCGAAACAAAAAATCCGCGAAACTCCTTCACTCCTCTGTGGGAACGTTGATAACGAAACTGAAATGTTGCGATTGACTACAGATCGTACTCATCCGAAAAAGGCTGCGCGGAGAACCACTTTGGACGGCTTGACGGGCTCCGCCACTTTCCCACGGATCGGTTGGAGCTGCTCGGCGAGCGCCTTACCGGCTCCAGATATACAAGCGGCACACGGAGATATGGCTCGCATCTCGCGAGTGGAACAAGAATCCGCTCGGCGAGCGCGAACCGAGCGCTCGCTATATGCAAAGGGCAAGGGCCTATATGCCTGGGCCAGTCCCGCTGCGAAAACAAGCTTCCGCACAGCGCTTCCGAAGGAGCGTACTTGCGGAAGTTATTGGCTGCAAGTGATATCGGTTGATGAGATCTCCATCTACACATTTTTGTGAACTCAAAACGACCCACACTCATAATAACTGACGAGGTCAACGACCTATGCTCGTTCAGCACTCCACAAACGCCGGCAGCCATGTTTGTTAATTGTTTCCAACCAAAGCGGGAGAAGCAATTTCAGAATACATTTGGAAACAACAATGACTCTATCTTGATCAGTTGCTTCTCAAACATAACAAAAATAGTAGATGAAGATACTATTACAGCACGTAGATACAAACTTATAATTAACCTTTTACACGTTAATCATCTCTCCAGCCAATGAAAGATGTAAGCACTTTGCAAGCACGGGGCGGGGCTTAGGGCCTGCGACCTCTGAATTCTGCACCTAAATGGCGTGTAGTGGCGTAAATATTGCAAACAAATTTTTTCCTTTGTGACAAATTTTCTATACATGTCCGCTCAGAAAGGTAATATTTTTTTATTGCTGACAGCAATTAAAAAATATTATCTTTCTTAACGGACAAGGGCAAACTCCGCCGAAGCCCCCGCCCCCAGCTTTCCCTTTCAACGCTTATATCTGCTCGATACGACATCGCGTTGTTAGGAAACATGTAAGTAGCGGCCCAACACGAGCGCTTTGCCAGCCCAATTAATGGCGCCCTGTGCGACTACTCCGGTCGCCCACCCCTAAGGCCGGTACTGTGCTATAGGCATCCAGAGCAACTCTTGATTCGCTAATCACCAAAGCTTGTTTATATGTTGAGCACCGCCCAAAAAACAAAAGTGGGCTTCCGATTTCTCGAATGTAGGTACACCTTTCATTGAGCATAGCCACGCGTCTGCACTTTACCTTTGTCGAAAGCAAAATGACAGTCAATCATATCGGCTTAGAGATGAATCTTTGATGAGCAGACACCGGTCATTTTTTGAATTGGTCTGCGGTCGGACCATCTCCGCACTGAGCATTATATTTACCCAATAAATAAACCAGCGAATACCACTTTTGAGCACCGACGTTTACGGCACCTTATCCTTAGCCGTTGTTGGTCTATAATTTGCAATGACTGGTTCTACGAGTTCTCTGGCCGAACGGCACAAAAATCTCGTCCTTTTATATTCATACCGTATGCAATCAATAATATACAGACGAGAAGACTCGCCAGTACCTCGGTGCCATCAGGGTTAACTTAGATTGTCGTGACTTCTGCGCAGTTGAAAGTTTTACGGAAGAGAAGACCAATGACACCTTCATGGCGTGCGGCTCAAGCGTAAGGCTCACCTAAGGCGAGGTCTGTGCATCTAATTATCGATTTTTTTTTTGCGGCCAATGATACTGCGTAATTAGCCAAGAAGAGTGTTCATTACCGAAACAAGAAGCTTGGACACAATAAACCACGCCCTGTGTTTCTTAACTTGTCAGTAACTGCAAAAGGTGAAACGAGAAAAACGTGAAACCTTGTTTTTATTCGCGAAAGGGACCGAAGTATTTTCTACACCCCACTATTCTTTGGAACATATTTTTATTTTTATGTGCGGGTTTTATGACGCAAACTTTTGACATGTCTCAGCAGGACATAAGCGGAAGCTTGGGGTGGCTGCGTTCAGTGGAAGAAGGACAGGGTCCAGTGGACGAGCCCAGTCTCCTTCATCTCCTCGGCGGCTGGCATGGAATGTTGCTGGCACTGCCGCACAAGTTCGATCAGTTCTTGGTACTCTCTTTGCTGCGAATCAATAGGAAACGTTCATCGTTAATGATTTTAAATTTGGCGCGCAAAACAAAATCAAACTGATATAAAACTCTGCCTCCCGCAAAACGTACTACACAACTTTTTACCGCTTATCACCAGTTCCGTCTTTTCAGGGTTTCTTTTTCTTCGAAGTTCGGGGTGTTTTCTCAGAGTTTATTATTTTTCCACAAATTTAGTGTTTTCTGGTACCAATGTTTTGCTGTCAGACAAAATTTCGGGGTTAATCGGGGCCTAATAGACCCTTTTCAAAAGTCCGCGCCATCGCCTGTACGCTACTGCTTGATCAACGCACTCTGAACATATGTAGTGCACGCGTTCGGCGCTCGGCGTGAACTCGGCTCGGCCGTTATTGGACACGAGCGCTGCTTCAGCGTTCGGCGAATACTCGGATCCAATCACGCGCTTCGTGAGCATGCAATGGGAACTATCAATGTTGCTCGATGGAAATTTGAAAAGGGTATATTATACAGAAGAACACAGGATGGGAGGCATGGGAATAAAACCTCAAAGAGAGTTTACTGGGGACAGTGTTCCGGTTCAGGACAAATTAAAGCTGTAGGCAAAGATTTCCTTCACCGTAAAGCTTGAGTTTTTTTTTTTTTTTGCTTATTTAAGGACATATGCAATTCGGAGCTTTGGGGTTTTTTCCCGATTCTGATAAAGACCGTGGCTCCGGGTTGAACATTCGGAGTTTATCTATATATGGGCGATACACGGATTCCTTCTTATCACCCAGACGAAAAGGCCGGAACTAGTGGGCTGTGGACACGGGCGTGACGTGTTACATTTCCACAGCCGAGTAGACAAAGATTGCGGTGCGGGGAAGGGGATTATTAAGTAGTTACTAAATACTGGAGGGTGTGACTTATTGTCCGCAAAAGTTTTTTCGCTTTGAAACACGCTCTTCGGCCATTTGTTTATGCAGCAATCTCATTGGTTACGGTATAGCGACGACCGGGACCTGCTACACCCTTCGTTTCTTAAGTTGTTCCGTAACTATAGTTCCGTTAACTTAATTTGCAATGAGTAAGTTACGTAAGCATTATTCTTATTGCTCGCTTTTTGTAATGTTTCGTTTTTTTTTTTTAACTCTGCTTATTATTTTCTGAACTCGGACCCTGGATTGTAGGTTTTTTTTTCATTTCATTTCATTTATTGGTACCCTCAGGGCCCGAAGGCATTACAGAGGTGTGGGATTGTTACGTACAAGTTAATAGAACACTCAAATTACGAATCAAGGTCTAGTAGTAAGGATACGGCATTTTTAAAATCAACAGGGTTAACAATTGTGGCGATGGATGTGGAAAGGTGATTTCAGTCAGCAGACGTACGAGGTGTGAATGATCTGCAGTATGTATTAGTGTTGCACTGAGGAATTTCAACTTTATTCTTGTGATTATTGCGTGACGATATGTAGGATGGCTCCAGTAAGAGTTCAGTCTTAAGGATTGGGTTGTGAAAAAATATTTTCTGAAATGAACGTAATCGATAAAACTTTCGGCGTAAAGAAAAGAGTTGGCAAGGATAGGCATGTTTTCATAAAGGTTACGCTTGATGTACGATGGTAATTAGAAAGAATGAAACGCACAGATCTATTTTGGACAGCTTCCAAGGCGCCGACGAGGCTCTAAGCGTTAGGATCCCAAACAGCAGAAGCGTACTCAAGTTTTGGCCGGACTAGTGTTTTATAGAAAAAGAGTTTCAAAGTCGAAGGAGTCTGGAAAAAATACGTTTAGATAGCCAAGCATGCGGTTGGCATTGCAAATGACGTGGTGAACATGCGATTCAAATGAGGGGTTATATGTGATGTGAACGTCCAGATATTTGTAAGTGTCAACCCGCTCTGAAGTCATATATTACACCGGGATGCGCGATATTGTCGAGATAATCAATCGATATTGTAATAATTTCGAAGCATTCTTTTGTTTAGTAATAAAGAGCCAGTTCAAAAACCTGACTTCTTTACTTAGACGTTTCGACCCGAGACGGGTCTTCATCCGTAGACCCGCCTCGGGTCGAAACGTATAAGTAAAGGAGTTAAGTTTTTGAGGTTGCTCTTTATTATATACAAAATCTCGGCAGCCAAGCCCTGCACCTCTTACTATATTTATATATATATATATTTTTTTTCCTGGGCCCTTTGCGCTCTACTCATTCCCTCAGTTTTACGCAAAAAGAACTGTAAGACGTTGTTTGGCAATGGGGTTCTCGCAAATAGAAATTGCAATAAGACTGTTTTCGTGTTTTTCCGAGGTGTTCGATGTTATCGCAGGCTCAAGCATACATGACTTCAAACGCGGTGTAAATAGACGAAGAGCACGCAGCCGATATGAGTAAGTGCTTGACGTCGCAACTATTTTCACATGGCGGATTTCGTCAATGACTTCATAGATGTCGTTATCCAACTCAAATAAAACGAGCCACTTGCTCGCCATACTTTTAGTTACACTTTATTTTCAGAATAATAAAGCCATTTCATAGCAAAATATAAAATATATTTGCCTGTGGTATCATTAAACTGATCTGCCGACTTCGTTACGACCGTGGTAGCATAAGAAACTCCACGTCTCTGCTACACGTTATTGCGTGTGCAACTAAAAGCCAAGATGCATTAAAAGTTGGTTTAAAAAGTGAACTTACAGTGAGATAATCCTTAAGTTGCTCCTCCTGAAATACATAGGGAGGTACAACGTTATATACTTGTTTACTCAAAGAGCTTACCATCAGTCGAAGGCTAGACGTATTTGCACGAAACGATAAACGAAAGAATAAGTGCTTAAAAAACAAACAATATGACTGCCTGCAGTGTTACTGTAATTTACATCTTAAAAGAGGCACGCAGTGGCTAATGACGCAGCATTTATCAATATGTGATTGACCTCCGACTGTATTTACCCCACGAGGTTGCAATTTCATAGGATGCCCATTGATAATGAAATGATTCTGAATTGATAATCCTTTAAGTTATCGGTGATTTTAACTTTGCTTAAGAAACTTGTCGCCTTTCAGGCAAATTAGATTTTACATTCTTGCAACTTTAGCTTAGTTCTGCGTGTTCAAACTGTCTTTAGTTTCAAAGTTTGTTACAATATAAACAGCTCTAAGAGATGTCCCATCCACAAGAACAAACCCTCCGCACGATGCCTCTGGCGCCCGAAGCACACTAGGGCGTCTCTTCGGCATAAAAATGGGGCGCGGATGAATTATTTTCTATTTCGCGATGTCAGAACAACGGTGTGTCTATATTAAGGGGCACAGTGGCACCACTTTTTTTTTGGAAATTCAAGGGACCAGCTTCTCTGGCAGCTTGATTGTTAACAGAAACTATGGTTTTGATGTGTTTTATCAAACACAGGGGGGGGGGGGGGGGGGGGGGTCTTGGAAAAAAAGAAGTGTTTTTCGGCCCGAGTACATAAATTACGCATCGCAGGAAGCTTGAACTTCGTAAAAATGTGACGCCATGGATTGGCATAGAAGGCGAAAGTTTCAAAAACATGACGGTAACCTGATCGAAATTTTGAAGAAAAAGACAAAGTGTTGCTATAAGCTCCCGCTCACCTAAGTCTAATATTGTCAAAACAAGAAGTGGCATTGTGGGCGGCTTTACGGTATACTTTAGTGAACGAAGATCTCTCAACAGGAAAGAACAGAATACTCTTTCTTTCGCCGCCATGTGTTTTTTCACTGATACAAACGTCCCATGCGTCCACAACGTCAGGTGGAAGTCGGCTCATTAAGAAATTTTGTCTTTCTCTTTTATCTTTTGATCCAGGTAACGTCATGTACTCCTAATTTCGCGTTCTATTCCAGTTCCATTCCAACCGCTAGCGTCACATTCTCACAAAGTTTCAGCTCTCAGCGATGCGTAGTCTATTTACGCAACCCGAAGAAACATGGTTCTCTTCCTTTTTTTTTAATCGCCTGGTACATCAGCTTACTAATAACACGGCCTACACTTGCGCGCATTGTTCTGGAGATAACACCCTAACCATACCTACACCTCGCAATAATAAATGCCGTCTACAGACGACCATGTGAAACAAGTGAGGTAAAGAAACTGTTTTTGAAACACTTTCACTGGTTGCTACGTTTTTCCTAATGTGAAAACTCACAAAGCGTGGATACATGCAAAGGACCCGAACAGAACAAACGTCGTTGCTGCAATGTGTCAATTCCTGGAGTTGATGCAAGCCGAATTTCAACTGAAAGAAAATAAGGTAGAAAGGTTAGTAACAACTTCAAATATTATGTCGTTGAGAGAAAACAAAACGTCGCTTCTCACTCCAATGATTACATTATAATCGCGGTTTTATTAATACTGAACTGATGATGTGTTCGTTTATTTCCTTGAATGTAAAGGTTTTGTTAGTTTTTATGCATAGCTATACTGATTGAATACTTTTGTTGTTATTTAACGTATTTGTTACTTTTTGCTATCCAAATTTTCAGCAGCCCATCTCTTGCCTAATGCCTTAATATATGATAGGAACTCTAATGTAATAATAACCAAATAAAAAATATATGAATAAAATAAGTAAATAAATAAATAAATAAAAAATCAATGCTTCACGGAATATGAAAAACCTTTTCGCAGTAATAAAAACTAAAAGGATAAAATATCAATCTTTTTGCAATGTTAGTTTTGCAACTATGTGAATTCAAGAACGGAAGTAAGCTGTATTTATTCTCGTGTTAGTTATTGAATTTTCGCATTTTTAGTTTGACAGCGCTGCAATTCTCTGGAACGATGATTTAAGGGTGCAGTTTAGTTTTGCCCAGCAAAGTCATGGCTGAACAATATACGTTTATTTTCTTTTTGCTCTGTATATACTCGCTTGTCTTGAGTGCGAAAAAAATATATAAAATAAAATAGAATAAAAACTGAATGGTGATTAAAAAAAGAGTAAATTGTAGTTTAGAGTAATATTTTGGAAAAATCTTTCAAGCGAAGTGACCAACGCACTGACGTGGCGAGTGTCGCGATCAGTTAGCTGACCCTTCGAACGTGTAATGCCTCAAAGGTTTTTGTTTGTCTACTTTGGTTCTAGATTTGATTAATGAGGCTATTTATGAAGTTCAGTTTTTACAAGGTGCCATACAAACAAGCCCAAAGTTTATAACGCATTGTAGATCATTTAAGTAGATTCGGACTATTTTGTTTCGGTCCGAAATGTCTGAACCGCTTATTGGCTTTTAGACATCAATTGTAAATGTATTCATTGTAGACGGTAAAAAAAATTGAAGAAACAGCCGAAAGCCGCTGCTAAAGTACCCAATTACAATATAGGGTGGTTCAAGTCACCAGGCTCGAACTAAAATGGACAGTAAAAATCGACGGCTTCACGTAGCCATCTAAACTTTTCGTCAAAGGTGTAATTCACAGGTCGGTTTTTTCTTGTAAAATTACAAAGCGTAGCTCTCTTTCTCTAAAAAATAACACCAAGAAACTTGCCAGGATCTGCGGCGGGCAGCAACGAAGACGACAGGGGTCCAGTAGCAGGGTCTGTTTGGTGTTCGTATTGATAGATGGCGCTACCTCCTTATCGCGACGGCTCGCGACCACCGTGGTTCATTAAAATGAATATAATTTTTTTTTAAATGTACCTTCGCTTAAAAAAGTGAATTCAAACAATAAAAACAAAACTTAAAGTAAAAAAAACAAAACGCGTCTGCATAACGTCGGCGCTTTTGCTGTCAGCAGATCTCGCCTGTGTGTCGTCTGCTTTCTTTCGCTGGTCGGCTGCACCTTCAGACGCTGCTCCCGACGCCATCTATCAATACGAACACCAAACACACCCCGCTACTGGACTCGGTCGTCTGGGTCGCCGCCCGCCGTAGAACCTGGCAAGTTTCTTGGCCCTAATTTTTACTAAAGAAGAACTACGCTTTGTAATTTTACAAGAAAAAACCGACCTCTGAAATACACCTTCGACGAAAAGTTTAGATGGCTTCGTGCAGGCATCGCTTTTTACGGTCCATTTTAGATCGAGCCTGGTGACTTGAACCACCATATATACCTCTAGCTGAGGTTACTTACATCATCGGTCGCTTTTCCGCGAACGCAGTTGAAAAGAACGTTGAGTTGAGCATCCGTCTTGGCTAAAAAGGTGCATAAAAATATCCTTAATTATAATGGGAAAAGCCGGAAACTGAGTACAACACATAAAATGGCATGTTTGATTGCATGTGAACATAAAGAAATAAATCATAAATACGAGGCGCAAGACTCGGCGGTATTCTTACGTACGACAGAGGTTGAGGTCTTGAGAAGAAACCAAAAGAACGTAGGCGACGAAGGCTGAACATTGGAGAAAGGACTTCATTGTGAGTGAACTATAAGGGACTTAACCTTCTCACTTCTGAACTTGTAGGTCCACTTTGCGTGCGTTCGCAGACTGGTGATGACGGGAGCGTGAATGGGGATCGGCTGACAGCGGGGCTCGAAAGCTTCTGTATCTTTGCTAGCGCGCGCTGGATCTTTGCAACCGATTAACTTTTGCCGAGGGTTCATTTTGTTTCCTGAAGCCGAACTACAAAGGTCGTAAGCGACGGTAGCATCTGCGTTTAGCATTTCGGGGTAGCAGCATGGAATATCATCAAGGGACAGCAGTACTCGAGAGAACCGATCTGGGCAGCACGGTAGGAGAAAAAACGACTGGCGTTGGTGAACGAAAGTAATCACTGGAGAAGGGGAACAAGAGGGACAAAGGACAAACACAAATCTCCAAACACAGCTAGGTGACTGGTGCGCGACCGTAAAAATCCGCCTGGTCCGGGTATCGAACCCGGAACCTCTCCATTTCCAGTGGAGCGCTCTACCAAGTGAGCTAACCAGGGGTTAACTCATACTAGCTTTATAAAAAAAAAAAAAAAGAATAATACAAATATATTTTTGTTTTGAATAATTATTTGATGGTACCTGAAAAACGCGGGAAAGCTAGAGTGTAGATGAAGGGGGAAACGTTTGACGGGTGTCAAAGCGACGATAAATTAAACACATTGCTCGAGGTCAGAGGGGGGGGGGGGGGGGCAAACAATTTTGGCGATTCTATGCTGAGACGCAACTACAGTTTTCAGAGTCACTGTGGCGGTAGTGGTCTAATAGTCCCATTACGCGGATCCTTTCAACTCTCAATACTTTATTGGCTTTTGGCGGCCACTAAAAGTAATTTTGACTGAACTATGAAGTTTGACGCAAAGTTATCTAAATAGGGACGCTGATTAACCGTAGACGAATTTTTGCGTTTGATAAACGTTTAATAAAAAAAAACAGAAAACGGAGCACTTCTTGCTTTCTTTTGGATTATAAATATTATTAGTATCCAAATTCGTCAAACTCATACCAGAGATAGTACATAAATGAAGCATTATTGTCGTTTACATTATGAAGAAAAGTCTCGTACCGCTCTGTACTACTCGCATCCATTTATATCTCGGAACTACAGGTTCCCCCGGTGCGCTGGTCCACGAGCTCGTGCTCTTGCCGGCTCTTGTCATCTTCTAATATTCAACATCCTCCCCATGCGGCGACGAAAGAGATGATCCCGCCTCAAGCAGACAAAGGCGCTGAATAGAGCGGCGTAGTTCCGAACCGCTGGAGAGTCGTAGTGCGCATGCTCGAGTCACGTCATCTTTGCCTGAGAACATCCCCGTTTTTGTGTTTCTAAGGACATGGAGTAATCGCAGTTTTTACGAATAAATCTCTAGTACACACAGCAACAACTATTTACAATCAGGGTGATTCCGGTATCGGCAGACGGCAGCGTTGGGCTGGCTCGCTGGCTCGCGTCGGTCAGCTCGAGCTCGCTTCTTCCTCGTCGTTCCGTGTGTCTACTCTTGGACACAACACTCCCTCAGACCAATCACAGTCCGTCCCAAGACACCGGTTTGCGTGCTCTCGAGGGGTATCGGCGCTCCGCGCTTTCAGACGTTGTTCGGGCACCCATAGAAGAGACAGTTGCTTTTAAGTCTGGTTTCCCACGTTCCGATGGGTTATTTTGTTCCTGTCTGGGAATGAACAGAGTATCTGACACAGATTCCCCGGTGCCTGCAACTTGGTTTGGTCGGCGAAGAAGTTTTTTTGAAGTGTCGTTTTGAAACTCCGTTCGGCCCCTTGACTTTGTAGTGCGCTCTCCCAAAAGACTTCAGCATTGTGCCTGGAATCAAACTTCTCCTTGGATTTCGGTAGTCTCGCAAAAGACACCGTCTCCCTCTTGAAGCTTTCTTCTTGGTTCTTTTCGAGCTTGAACCTCCGGTAACTTCTCTGCGTGAAGGAGATCCAATCTGGTTCTATGTCTTCGCTTGAACAACATTTTGGATGGTGCGAAACCAGTAGATGTGCGTGGCGTTAAATGATATGCCATCAGAACTCGGGAAAGCTTCGTTGCTAATGACCCTTCGGTCTGTGTCCGCAGTCCTTGCTTTAGCACTTCTACTTCTCGTTCGGCTGCACCATTCGTTGCAGGATGAAATGGAGCGCAAAACTTGTGTTGGATTCCATTTCCCCTTAAAAATTCTTCGAAAACTTCAGAGTGGAAGGGTGGTCTGTTGTCCGAGACAATAGTTCGCGGTAGTCCATGCTGTGCAAAAAAAATTCCTCAACACGTCCATGACTTTTTCCGCAATTGGGCTCGACGTTATTTCCACTTCTGGCCACTATAAAAGGCGCCGGTGACAACTAGAAACTTTGCCCCTAGGGACGGGCCAGCAAAATCAATGTGCAGTCTTTCCCAGGGTTGTTCGGGTGTCGGCCAGTGGAAATGCTCTTGAATTGGTTGGTTTCAAAATTTCTGACACGGCGAACACTCTTCGACTGTTCTGACAATGTGATTGTCAATGTTCGGCCACCAAGCATGCAGTCTTGCCAAACTCTTCATGCGCACAATGCCGTCATGCACCGCATGAAGCTCGTGGAGTACTCTTCTTCGGCATGCTTCTCGAATAACAACTCTTCGGCCCAAGAATAAGCATTCTTCCTCCATCGTAAGTTCCAACTTCCTCTTGAAATATGCTTTCATATCTAGACTTACATTCTCCGGCCATCCGGTCTGAGTGAATTTCAGTGCCTTGCTGCACAGTTGGTCTTTCTCTCCTGCCTCCTGCAGAGTCTTCATGCCCACTGGACACATGTCTAACTGTGCCAAGTAGAAACCATAGTCAGTAACCCTTTCTTCTTGTCCATCAATTGGCAGGCGAGATAGGGCATCTGCGTTGAGATTGTCTTTTGATTTCTTGCAGACCATTGTATATTGATACGCTGACAGAAGCATTGCCCAACATTGCAATCTTGCAGCTGCTAACGTTAAAATCCCTTTGTGGAGTCCAAAGATGGTTGACAATGGCCTGTTGTCGGTTACCAAGATGAATTCGCGTTCATATATGTAGTCATGGAATCTCTTCACCCCAAAGACTATCACTAGGGCTTCCTTCTTTAGTTGCAAAAGCAATAGGACGCTTTGTATTGTCCCGGTACACGTGCGCTAACACGGCTCCAACTCCAACTAGGGAAGCGTCGCGAGACAAAATCAACGGTAGCTCTGGATAATAGTGAGCCAACACTGAGGCTCTGCTCGAAATTCCCTTAAGTTTTTGAAATCTCCTGTCACACTCTGGTGACCAGTTCCACGGCACGTCTTACATGCACAAGAAGCGTGAACGGCTTTAGTATCGTAGACAGCTTAAGCACGAAACGTTCAAAATAGTTTACGAGTCCAAGGAACGATCATAACAAAACGATCAGGCTGTACAGGAAGCACCGGGAACCGGTGCTTCCTGTACAGCCTGTACATTTTTGCTCATTGTGCTTATTCCGGAACCGCTAACTGTATGTCCCAGGTAGTCCACCTTGTCTTGCATGAACAGGCACTTCTTTTTCGGTAGCTGAAGTCCACGATCCTTCAGGCGCGTTAGTACTTCGTACGATCTCTCTAAGTGCGTTGTATTGTCCCCTGCGGTTACTAAAACGTCGTCCAGGAACACGCAGACACCTGGAATCCCTCCCTATATTATCTCCATTTGTTTCTGGAAGATATCAGGGGCTGAGGCGATCCCATAAGCTAGACGCTTGTATCTGTATCCTTATGCGTGTGTATGGTGACATACTGGTGAGACTTTTCATTCAACACCAGTTGCTCGTAGGTGTGTCTTAAATCCGACGTTGTGAACTTCTGCCCATTGTTCAAAGTCGTGAACAAGTCATTGGCTGTTGGCAGTGAGTACTGGTCCACTTCAAGTTGTGGATTTACCGTGAGCTTGTAGTCGCCACATTTCCGGGCCTCTTTTACTTTTTTTGAAATGTTGACTGCAGGCGTCGCCCACTCGCTGTAGTTTATTGGCATGACGACGTCTCTTTTTATTTTGTCACCTAACTGTGCTTCGATCAGATGCTGGGGTGCATAGGGAACTTTTCGGCGTTTCATAAACTTCGGCTCGGCGTCTGGTTTCACCTGCAGATTGACTTCAACTCCTTTGAAACACCCTTGTTACTTATGAAAAGTTCATGGAACTCGGCCAGGGATGCCATCTAAGCAATGCGCATCTTTCACAGTATATACCTGGAGTGCTCGTATCCATGTCTCGTCCAGGACCTCTATCCGATTTCTTCCCAACAGTGGTGGCACAGCTCTACTTTCACCACGACTAGTGGTAGCGTCCAGGTCTTCCGGTTGCTCGTGACATGGACATCAGCAGTACCACAGACGTGCAAGCTTGGTCCTCAGCAAGTGCGAAGCTTGGTTCTGAAGTGCTCCAGCGTACGAATCTTCAGTTTTCCTTGCAGCCGCTTTTGAATCACTGTCACCTTAACTCCGGTGTCCACCTCCATCTCCAGAGTCTCATCCTTAATAAAAAAGCTTTTCTGGAGGTGTGGTACCGTCAGTAATTCCGCGTTTGTCCACGGGACAAAATATTCTTCCGCTCTCTCTTCCTCTTTCAGCTGTTGCACCGCTCCCTTTCCTTTCTTGGCTGGTTCCTAGCGTTTGCCTTTTCCATGATGATTTGATGTTTTCTCTCCTCTTTGTGGCACGCTGTTGTTTTTGCAGGCTTTCCGCAGGTGACCCTTTTGTCCACATGCGTCATAGTAGCAGCCTTTATCGCGGCAATTTTGAAGAGGGTGGTTGGCTTTGTGACAACGCGAGCAGGCAGCGCTTGTGTTTGCTAGTTGTTTCACTTCGTCTTCAACGGTGGCGCGCGCATTTTTGAGAATCTTCATTTGATCCTCAGCCGCTTCGAATCCAACTACCGATTCCACAGCTCGCGTCAAAGTCACATTTTCAATTATTAGTCACTGCTTCTGGGTCATCGTGTGATTGAAACCACAAACAAATCGGTCGCGCAATTGCTCCTCGAGTTTGTCTCCAAAGTGACAGGATCTCCGCCAGCCGTCTTAGTTCTGCTA